TTTTTCTGTGCTTCTTCTATATTATCTGTCATCCAGATCAATTATTCCTCTGCCTCCCCGCCTCAGAAACACAGAGGCTCATAGAATGGTTTGGGTTCAAAGGGAGTATAAAGGTCATTTCATCCACCTGCCCTACAATGAGCGTGGACACTGCACTTCCTCCAGCCCAGGCACATCTGAGCCTTTGTCAGACCTGCACATGCTGAGAACAGTCTCTGAAATCTTCTGAGAGGTGTGAACGCCTGCTTAGCACAGAAGGCAAACTGCACCTCCTGATAGAAGCTTGTCAAGTGCTAGAGCTCTCTAAGGTTATTCCCACCCTACATTCTCTATATTTCCTCTGCACATATTTCTGTGCAAACACTTTCTCTTCCCACACTTGCTTCTGTGCATATGTCTCCTAGCTGGTTAGAATTTGGCATCTATGTTAGCAAAGAAATACTAACAAAGTCAATTGTGTTTGTGTTAGTGTTACTAGTGAGGCAGCCAGACTTAATTTTGATGAACAAGGATTTCTGCCCATGACAAAGAGACTGGTACCTCAGGGCAGCATCCTCAGAATGGACAGGTTTTACTGAGAGGTGCAAAACACAGAAAACTGATGGGGAACACACTGGCAGGATCAAGTCTGAAGGATGCCTCTACTAGAAAATGTAATCAGAAGGAGGCACCTCAGGCCCCTGGGAGATACATCATCGAGGCTCAGCCCAGATAATACCCATGTAGGAAAAACCTCCTTACTTGTTAAGGTAATCTAGAGGGAAAGGATGGAGGAGAGTAAAAAGCCAAACAACAGAAGCATCAGGGTCTGTGGGATGAAAACTCCAAACAAACTAAAACAAACAAACAACAAAGAGATTGGATTAAAAATAATGATCCAAAATCAGAGTTTATCTGTTGAGACCGACTAGAGAAGCTATTTTAATATTGTCTCCCTCAGCTTTCTGCCTCTGCTCCTGGAGGTGTCTAAAAGGAATTTAAAAATAAAAATCAAGACAGAAGAAAAAATACACCATGAAGAAAAGTAAGACTGAACTTTTTCTGTTTCCATGTAAACTTCAAAAAAATATTGAGAAAGGTGCCAAACCATTTTTATGACCTAAAAATATTTCTTCTTCCCTTTTCATGACATTATCTCGTTTGCCTTTTATTTACTCATAACACAGCCACAGTTTAAATAGACAATATGGCTTATGTTAATTACGTAATTTAGAGCCAGATACCTTGTGTTTCTCAAATCTGATAAAGAAAAGCAGACTTCTCTTCAAGCACACTGTGGCTTGAAACACAAGGCTGTGGGTTTGGAGTCAGACATTTTTCTTGTTATCTTCACCAAGGTCTCACACTTGAAAGAGAAGTCCCACCTCATTCTCTTAGCTGGCGCCACCATAATTGTTTTTAACCACCTTCCCTTTTTCAGCATTTGTTTTACTGCTGGGATTTGTGTCCTGCTCTCCTCAAACTAAGACTAATTACTACCTTCTTCCATAGTTCCATTTTTTTTCCAACTTTTTTCTTAAGAAGTTGCTCTTCAGTATCATATTGCTTTAAAGGAAGAAAGTCAGTCTTTCCTAACATCAGGTGTTCCTTGTCTCTCTGTGAACACTTATTTAATACATTGCAAGCACATTATATTTAGACTATCTTTTGACACAGTCAGCTAAAGGTCTGCTGGGGTAGCTGGGCTAAATACACAAAGCTGGGCCTCTTCCATCTCTTTCACTGTAGAAAAGAATAATAACTTTAAATTAAACGAGCACTGACACTGAATATGCAAAACTCAAGGCTATTCTACACTGTCACACTGCAAGAATCTGATTATTTTGTAGAGCCTGGTACAAGCTCATCCACACAAACACACTTTAGGAGATTTAGCAGCTACTAAAAGCTGAAAAATTCAAGTTCAAAATTTGAAAGAGTAAAAAAGATTAATCATAGGCCTCCTTCATTCCTTTTATGTTGACAGCTCTGTCTCATTCCTTCAAATGCTCCAAGTGGTCCAGTCCACATCTGAAAAAACTTTTTAAAAATCTCTGCTTAACATTTTTGCAGAGCTTTAATGCCAGGTGATCTATTCGTGTTCAGGATTAACTAACTGTGTAATAACTAGTGACAGACATTTACAGACCTTCAGAAACGTCATGGTCAGGAAAGAATCATATCCAAGATTAATGGCAATTTGATCTGAATTCTGAGAATCTGAATGTTAAAGCCAAGGATTTTACTGCCACTTTAGACAGGCAGCCTTTTTCCAAGGGGAAAATAGCCCCCAAAGTGTTCCACAAGAGAGCATCCCACATCATGTCATGTTTTTTGGAAATTATCTCATCAATTAAGCAGCACAGCATATCTGACAGCACAAATATTTAATAAGGATGCAAAGTTTCTAAATTCAGCATCAGTTAATATCATCCACGGCTGAAGTCTCTAACACTCTTGTGTTTCAAGCCTGTAGCACTTGCTTGACTCAAGCTGCTCCAGACAGCAGCTTATTAGTATTATTTGTCCATTAACACAACCATGAACATCACAAAGTACACAAGCCTTTAGAGCTCAATATCTAAAACACGATAAGTAGGATTAAAGCATGCTTCTTCATGCTATAAAAGCAATTTGTTTCCCAGAATTTTTTTCTAGCTTGACTTGAAAGATTATCATAAATGGAAGGAAAGGGCAAAGGAAAAAAAAAAGCCAGTGTTCAGACACTGACATTGTAAAACTATATTTGTATTTCATGGATGTGAAATAATTCATAAGATAATAGAACACACACTGTTTTCCATATGTAATAGTTTATTCATGCCACAGGACAGATCCAGTTGTAACTAATCAGTGGAAAAGCATAATGCAGTAGCTGCAGAGATAATTCAAACAGCAGCTGTAATTAAAAAAAAACAAACAAAACAAACACACAAAAAACCAGGAAAGTGCTTTGAAAGTTGAAGTGAAAACTTCAACAGTAATTTCAATTTTAATTGCCTTCTGTGACAATCACAAATGTCTTTACAACAAAATAAAGGCCAGCAATTAGAACTTGTCAACGCTTAAAACCTATAAGCAGCATTTTTTGCTTAAAAAAAAAAAAAAATCACAAAATTTGTAAGTAAAATCCCTGAGTAGAAAATCTGTCAGAAAAAACTCCAAGCAGAAGCACCCTGACTTGAAGTGCCCACTCTGAGCTAGAAGCAACATATGTTGCTGGAGCTGGTCTACATACAAATCAGAACTGGGTTCACCAAACTATAAACTTTAAACCAAGCCAAAGGCTGTTTGGGAATTTCAATGGGAAATCCTCTTCAGAAAACAACCCTGTATCAGAATTCCTTCTGTGATGTTGCTGAGGTATGTGGGGTGAGAATACACAGTACACGGTCTGCAGAGATGTGGGAGGGAGTCTGCATTTCAGGGAGAGAAGCAGCTGGCTTAAAAGCCACTCCAACAAGCACTCAGCTACGTCAAGGTGGCTACTCCTGATAGAAATTTCGGCTTCAGAACAGTTCATGTGTACACAAAGACAAAAAGCATAGGTATGAGCAGCTACAGCCTAGGTAGGCTAAAACCAGCTGCTGAATGACTGTAGCCTGTTAGAGGCTCCAAGAATGAGACATCTGACATCAGGTATTTAGTTCAGTGCTAACACCAGAAGTACCCAGATTTTAGAGGGCAATTGTTTGGATTTACGTTTCTGCCAGCATAATTGCCAATGTGCAGTTCAAGCCATGCCTGAGAAGAATAAATCAATACTACTTTCCTTGGATGTCTTGTAAATAAATTACTCCAGAAAATAGCCTGACCTTGCTTCATCAATTTCTGTTTTATGGGAAGTGAGCCACTGTCCTTAGGCACTGTATGCAAGTTTGTAGAGTATCTCAAGAGAAAAAGAAAGAGCCTGAATAACAATGGACAAAACATATTAAACAACCTGCCCTGACTTATGACGTATACAAGACTTTGGCATAAGAACCATATAATAGACAGTTCTTAGCATTTCACTGGGTTAGGCAATGGTGTAGCAAAACAGAGACAGGCTACTAGTTCTAGTGAAACTCTGGAATTTTACTGTAGTAAAATGGAGGTGTAACATACTGCTTACAATAAAATGCCCATTCCAGGAATTAATCTGTGCCTCACTAAGAGAAAGTTCCATAAAAATGTCACCTCAGTGCTCAGTGGATGTCACAGGGTCAAATGAATGGAAACAAGAAGATATTAGGAAAGAATAAATCTGCTTCTTTCAGATTTCAAACACCTTGAGAACTCTGCATTTGTAGTTCCCACACTTAATTTTAATAGGATATTAAAATGAAAAAAGCCTTAGAGAACACCACAAGAACAGTTCATATGTTCAAAACAGTGTCAGTATGAGTAATATTTAAATAGATGAGCACTGAGGGGACAGTACACAACCTCTCCTATGGTGACAATTGGACATGATGGTCACTACTTCTAATACAAAAACTATGAGGCACCAAATACTACTATTTATAAACCTGTGAAAAACAGGTTCAAGTCAAAAAAAGAAGGTGATTCCTTACACAGGCAAGGCTCGCCTGTGAAAGTACTGAGTAAAAGATGTGGTAGATGCTGGCAGTTTACTCTTTCAAAAAACAGCTGGGCAAATTCATGGTAGAGAACTTTACCAACAGGTGTCAAGTGGAAAAAAAATGGAAAAAAAAAAAACCCAACCAAACAAACCAATAACCCATACCCAATACACTGACTTACAATTCTCCAGATCATAAAATTGCTTAGGAAACTATTCTGAGAGAACATCACTATCTAAGAATTGTTAAATTCTTCCCTATATTTTTAACAATTAAAGACCATTGCCAATGCACAACAACAACCTACAAAAATGTTGAACAGCACCCCATCCATTATTTTTAGCTAACAAACCCTTCTAAACATGAGCATCATTTTCAATGCAATTGCTCGCATTTTAATTTCATAATGCTTCACTCACTCTGTCTTTCCCTTGCCTTCCCTTTCTCTCTTTTCAGGTTAAGGAAAATCCAGATGGGGTGCAGATGCTGCAAAATGATACAAAGGTACAATAGAACAAGAGTTTCTTAGACTGAATAAAATAATAGCATTAAACCATGTGTCTGTGCTTCCCCACACCTCTTGCTTTAATTAGCCACTAAAAAGGTTGGAGTTTTCTCAAAGTTTACAGCATCTTTAGGCATACAGATTTCTTATGAAAGTCCTTTTAATTTACTGTAATCAAGGTCCACTTCCATAATGCCTATGCCGCAAAAGGAATTGTCTTGCATTGAAAACTCTTCTTTAGTAAAGTTTTTCTAATGTAGGTAGCATGGGCTTCCCCCAGTTCAGCAGAACAAGGAGTACACATTATGTCAGATCCTCCCTCTCCCAAGCAAGGAAAATAAACAACAGTTCTTTGCTTCCATCATAACTGTTAAATGTAGTTAGTTTGGGGAAGAATTCCCATATTAAAAGTCTCCCTAGAGAGGAGGACTAGCCAGTTTTATGAAGACCACATTTCAGCCCCACTTGATGGTTACTACTTCCTCTTGGCCACTTCTACAGAACAGGTAAGGAACTGGGGAGAAAATGGTGCTATGAGAGAAAAAAGAAAGATAAAGAAAAGAGAGAAGCCCTGGGAGAGATAAGGAAACTATAGAGCAATTGGAAGAAAATTAATCAGGAGAAAAAAAAAAAAATAAGGACAAAAGACTTGAAAGAAAAACACCAGGAAAAAATAGAAGATATTTTAGAAACTGTATGAGGATATATTAATTTATAATCCATGTTATGACTGCTCACTGGCTAATCGACTCCCCAGAGAAAATAAAAAATAAGGCTGGAAACAAGCAATGACTAGCACAAAGTTCTCCAACATCCTCCTTATGCTCTTGGTGAATCTCAGTACAGTGGTTAGTTATCATCAGTCCCAGGAGACAGCAGCCTGGGATATGCATATTCAGCATTTCCATTTGGTTTAACTCATTCTCAGATCCCAAGGCAAAGTTCAGTGACAGTCCTTTCTCAAAATCTTCAGCTTAAAAAGGAAGCTTAATCTTTTTTACTAATTATATTAACATCATAAGTAACATTTCCTTTATAAATTTTTCTGACTCCAGCTACATCTTTGATCCAGAAGAAGTACAATCACCTGGATGCATTCATGAAGTAAACAGCTATAAACACAATGAACAAGGCAGCAATAAATCCCGATTCAAAGACAAGAGTGAAAATGAAGAACCCAAAAATGAACTCCAGAGGCATGAGGCAAACAAAACAGAAAATAAAAACCCAGTAAACAGTACAACAGAAACTCTCTGGAATCACAGAGGCCATGATTCTCAAGAGGATGGCCTTGTGAAGTGTGCTGCAAAGCCTGATGTTGCAGTCAATGGTGGCAACTCCTGTGCTCAGCACTCCATGCTCAACCCCAACACAAGCCCAGTGAAAGAAACCAGTGAAAAGGGAAACTCCAGCCAGTCAGAGGCTGCTTCAGCCAGCAACAGAGACTCGTACACCAAATCAAACAGGTGTGGACAAGAACTTGACCTAGAGACAGGCAGTCAGAGCAAGGCAGCCAGCAATGTGCCTAACAGTATTCCAGACTCCCTGTCTGCAGAAGACAGCATCTTCATTACAGGAAACTCAATACTGGAAACAGAAAACAATACCATAACACTGCCAGATATTGATTATCCCCAAAATGGCAATCAAACTGGGAACTATGTTGAAAAAGACAGCTTTTCAGTCAACTGCACACATTCAGACCAAAACACTGGTGCTTCAGCAATACAGAACCAGGATGCTCGTGTAATCCCACCTTGGCCTGTGAAAGAGAGCAGTATTGAACCTTTTAAAACTGACTCTGCAAGTCTGACTGAGAGCCTTACTGCTAGTATCACTGCAGTGGCTGTTACCAAGGTCACACAGGCACACACACACACCAACCACAACAATGTCAGTGGAGAAATTGAGGAGGAAGATGCAGAAGTTGCAGCAGCTCTTGCTGCACTGGAAGCTGCAACAGCAGGAGAAGACATGGAAGATGATGACGAGTACTAGATGGTTTCTTTCTAATACACTGGGTAAGATCCAGATGTTATTTCTGGATCAATATGAAGAGATATACAGCACACATGGAGAGCTGTTATGAACAGCATATAAAAAAGGAGTTGAGACTAAACCTTGGTCCCTTCAGCTGTTTTATACAGCCTTTTAATTTCTACTGCCTGAGGTACAGAAGAGCTCCCTTGACTAATGGTAATACTCTTCTCTATGGGCTCAAACAGTAGGAATAAGCACTATTTCTTCCACACAAAACATTCAGTTGTACACCCACCTCATTTACACTCATGCAAGTGTTTCCTTTTTCTCCTCATGAGGGTCTGCACACTGCATGTTCCAGGTTCACAAAACTCCCATTATTTAAAATAGGACTATTGAAGCCATAGAGTTAGAAAGCACAGATTTTCATGATTAGCAGAAAAAAAACTACATAACTGAGACAAAGTTCAATGATCTACTGAAACATGAAATAGGGAAGGCAGCTTGGACTGAACTTTACAGTGGTTATGGTTCCATTATGGATTAAGCCTAAATCTGTGCATGTGCACCTGGCATTGGAATGATAATATCATTTCTCCCCACACACCTCTCCCTTGACTGTGTTTGATACCCCAAGTGTTGCTGCTTCAGTTCCTTAGAACAGCAGAAGCCCAGCCAAATCCAAGAGAGTGGGTTAACTTTCTGTTGATTTAATGTGTTAAAGTAGCTCATGTAAGAATTGCACACACACTATCAGAGAGGCCAGAGAGATCAAAACCCAGTCCATACCAGTTTGGATAGATTAAAACAGTTGTAAAAAAAACAGCCTGAAACCTCTGAACTCCACTAAATTTTCCAGGTGCATGTGACCTGTCTTAACAATATAGTTTTCAAGCAGGTTGTGTCTCAAACATCCCCAGCAAGATGTGTTTTGTTAATACAAAAACAACAAGAGCCAATTTGGACCTCTCCTTAGTTCTGCTGTAGTGTCTAAATTTACATCAGGAAAGGGACCAAACTTCCAAACTGGATTAAGCCTAAGATCTGAAAATAGTTACATTCTTGGAGGGCTGCATTTCTAATGGGAGGAAAAAAAAAAAGGAGGTAGAGACCAATTTGGTGCTGTCAATTCAGCAAAAGTATGGTTGAAATAGAAAGTGTTTGACATTTTATACTGAAATTTTGTGGTTTCCAAGTTTTTGTTAAAAACGCCTAATAAATTTTTTGACCATATTTTAAAAACCTGGTGGCTTTTGTACTTTATGCATTTTCTGAATATAAAATTTACATTTAAGAAGTCCAATAAGATATAGCCTTCATTAGATACATGAAAAGCACCAACAATGTATTTGCCTACAGCGTATGGTGATTTCAATTTCTCAAAACATTCATGCTACTCCTGGGAGCAATTAAAACAACCTAAAGTCTCAGCTTCTAGAGAACAAGATCCTGCTACAGGCAAGAGTCACATTGTATCTGTAAAATAAAAAAGCTTTATATGGTTTTAAAGTATTGTAGTAGTGTTGATTTCTCTATCTTCTTCCTATTTTAATAGGTCCTTCTAAGCCTTCTCCTAAGGGCATACAAGTTTTACAGATCCATCTGTCTTTCAAAGACTACTACAATGCTCAAAGTCAGTGAAAGTGCCAGCACATTGCCAATACAAGCCATGCTGGGTGTCACCAGTCCTGGCGGTCCCTGCCCAGCACCCCAGGGCTCGCCCTGCCCTGCCTGGGGCCCAGGACCCCACTCACCCTTGGGGAGCAGACCTGCCAGCCCCATGGGCCCCTCCAGAGATGCCTGTGCCAGGGCTGTCCTGGGGCTGTCCTGGGGCTGTCCTAGTGCTGTCCTGGTGCTGTTGGCTGCCCCATGCCCCGCCTGGGGCAGCAGGACAGACTCTGGCTGTGGCATCCAGCCTTGCTATCCCCAGGGAGCCCCTACTGCTCCCCACATCCCAGCCCCAGGGAGCCAGCAGCCCCTTGCTGCACCATCACACAAACCATGAAAAACAATCCAAGTAAAAAAGATGTTGAAGAAAGAAATGGAACAAACACCCCAGAAAACTTACCTGATTTTTTTCAATATCCACTCAATTCGACTTTTCTAATCTGAGCTCCAGTTCAAACTTCAAGTGGAAATCACAGCAAGTTTCTCACATTGCTCTCCAAGCATTAAAACATATTAGAGCAGAGCCCCATGTCAGATGCAGCCCAGACAACTCAAACCAAGCACCTCTTCCATGGGAACTGCCCACAACCATGGGCCACCCTCTGCATGAGAGCAGCTGAGCCACAGACAGTGCATGTCTTGCAGCCCAAGTTCTCACTGTCATAAACAGAAGAGGCAAAACCCAGCACAAAGCAAGTCTATTCACTGCATTGAAATAACTGTTCCGTGTTCTCTCACAGAAAAGAAAGAAAAAAAAAGTTTGGCATCTGCATATCTCAAACATACATCATAAGGAAAGCTTCCATAAAATAAATCTATGAGGTAACACCAACATTCAGACTTCTTTTATCTGCTAAATTAAAAACCCCAGTGCAGTTTTTAAGTTAAAAACCACAAGAAACCATTTGTATGCATTTTATATTTACATATGTGCTTAGATACCTTGAACCCTGCCATGACACCACAGAATGTCAGGAATTCTTAACTTTTTGCAGCTTACAGTACAATTTTCACAAAAAATGTGAAAGAATCACTTATTTAAGAAATAATTTTTAAATGTCACACACAATTTCCTCCAAAAAAATTAGATTTTAAATAATTATGTGAAAAGCAAATCCTATTCAGTCCATCAATTGTTGATTCAAATAAACACAAACACCGCCAGCTTGAAGAATCCATTTTGCTCAGGCAATTGTGAGAGAAAAATTCAGTAACTTGAGAAAACAGAAAATCACAGAGAAAAAAATGCTACTAGAAGCAAGAGTAAATTGTATTTTAAGACTTCTGTCAAAAACTATGTATTTTTTTTTTAGACATCCAGACACTGTAACTTCAGCTACCAATCAATTATGTTTCCTATATTTCAGAGGGGTCACCTATGAAGTATCATTTAAATCTTTCCATTTTCCTTGGATACAAAAAAAATAATATGGGGCTGGTTGGCCAGTATCTACCATTATTAATGTTTCTGTACTTGATGTAATCCTTTATAGGTAAGGGTGAAGATATATGTAGCAATAAAGAACAGGCAATAGGATGGGAAACTATGATAGGAGTTGGTATTTCCGTGAAAGCTTTTGCATCTTGGAAGCTCATATTTTGTTACTCTTCAAAGTAAGTAACAATTTAAAGGGAATTTGCAATCTTTCATATATAAGCAAAGAAACATTGAGGAAGACCAAATTTAGCACCTTCGTATTTGGCAATAGGTCAACCCTGGGTTATTAAAAAAATTCAGATCACTGCAGAGATTTCACATATGACTACAGGAGTGGAAAACAGCCCAGTCTGCCCTCAAGGAAGTAATTTCCTAGGGAAAGTTCAGTGAGAGTAGAACCCAAAACTGGACACTGCAGAATTCTTCAGCTCAGCAAACAAAGTTCTAGTAAGTAGGCAGGAACCTGGAAATAGATAAATTCCACAAAGATGGAGGTTTATCCTCCCCTTTTAAAGAACAAATGTAATTGTTTGGGCAAGTGCTGCTATGGAGACTTCCCATTAAAAACTGAAATTCAGAAACAAAAAAATCTTATTTTCTAAAAGATATTCCAGATTTGATTAAGTAAAATATTACTTTAATCATCATTCGAAGGCTGAAACAAGAAATACTGACTCGGAAATAAATTTTTTAAAATTAATCTTGACCTTATGTTGTATTTGTAGTTTCAATTTCCTAAATGTGATATAGTTTTCCAAGATTAATTCTTACCAATGTGTCCTATTTTGGTAAATGAGAATACAATATCTCTACATTTACTAAGGCCTGTGTATCTGGTATTCCACATGTTTATTCAAATGCCTACATTATACATTTTAATTACATCGAAACAATGAATTTCAATTATTTCTCTGGAATTTTGGTATCTCTCCCTGCATGTAGATGGAAATTGGAATCCACTAAATTGCACAAGAGCATCACTTCAAAATTAAATGTATTAAAACTTTTTTAACATGCTGACTACACAAAGAAGTTAAATTATGAAAGTCATTCTTCATTAAAAACTAATTTATTTTTAAACAATTCTGTTAATAAAACTTTATTTACAGATGTGTCCTACAGTTATGAACACAGATATGGCAAAATATGTAACAATAATTGTTAGAAACAGATTAAAACTTTTTCATTGGTCTTTTCAACATGAAATTCCCTTGGCAGAGAATTTTTTTCCTTACCATCATGAAATCAAAACAGAAACTCCCCAGCTTATTCCCTTGGCCAAGCTGTTCAAACGTCATGCATTCACATGAACTGCTAGAGACATTAGTCTTAGGATTCCCTTCTCCATTACCAATTTTACTTGGCTCTCAGGGAGGTTTGTTTTTAAGTTTTCCTTCATCTTGAATTTTCACAATCCCAATCTTCAGCTCAGACAATCCTTGAACTGAACTCATTGAGTAAAGAGAAGGCAGGAAATACTGCCTGCCCTAAAATGGTACTACTGCTGACCACTTCTGAAAATTCCACCCCACCTCCTTTGGGACTTTTTCCATTTCAAACTATAAACTGTTTCAAGTTTTGAAGAATCTAAGTGTTCATCTTGGACTCTGTAATAAAAATTGAAATAGATGATAGCAAATTAATGCCTTAACATAAGCAGCAATAACTTTTTAAGTGTTTTTTTGTTAAATGCCATTTTAACTTCTTTTAAATGGTTTAGTCCAATTCCACAACAGAATTTCATGAAGCTACTCCCCCACTCCCTACCTATTTCTCCTTTAGTCAGAGAAAATAAATACTTCCTTGTACAACTTAGTTTGGAAAACAGGAGTCTCTCAAAGAAGCAGGAAAAAACATTACCTCTCTTGATTTTGTTTAAAATCCCATTGCTGAAGTATACATCCTAATCAGTTACCTCACAATGACTGTGATCAAAGCTATCAAGGTTACATCATTCTCTGCTCTGAAT